TTATATCCAGCATATCTGAAGGAGCGTCTCCACCCCCATCATTCTACCCGGACACTGAGGTCCAGCACCGAGGGCCTTCTGGCAGTTCCCTCACTGCGAGAAGCCAAGTTACAGGGAACCAGGCAGAGGGCCTTCTCGGTAGTGGCGCCCTCCCTGTGGAATGCCCTCCCACCAGATGTCAAAAAGAACAACAACTACCAGACTTTTAGAAGACATCTGAAGGCAGCCCCTTTTAGGGAAGCTTTTAATGTTTGATGTTTTACTGTATTTTAATATTTGGTTGGAAGCCGCCCAGAGTGGCTGGGGAAGCCCAACCAGATGGGCGGGGTATAAATTATTATTATTATTATTATTATTATTATTATTATTATTATTATTTACCTTCCCTCCACAGTGGTACCTATTTATCTACTTGCCCTGGCCTGCTTTCGAACTGCTAGGTTGGCAGGAGCTAGGACAGAGCAACAGGAGCTCACCCCGTCGCAGGTATTCAAACCGCCAACCTTCTGATCATCAAGCCTAAGAGGCTCAGTAGTTTAGACCACAGCGCAACCCACATCCCTTATATACCTGGGTAACACAATGCATATCCTCTAACATTTCTCCAATGAAAACAGAACTGTCCCCACCAACATTTCTCTGGTGAAAATAGGGATGCCCTACGGAAAAGTGGGACGTTCTGAGATCAAATCAGAAACTGAGACAGCTTCTGTAAATCTGGGACTGCCCCTGGAAAACAGGGGCGCTTGGAGGGTCTGACAGTGGGTAGCAGTGCATCTGAATCCATCAGTGAGATTGGTCTTTGCACTCCTTTACAGCACAATCCTGTGCATGTTTACTTGGATGTAAGTTGTGATGGACAGGCCTTGGGTCTGCCTCTTTGGGACCCAAGGACCAGTGGGAGACGGGGAGTAGATCAGACAGTCAGGGGAGAAGAGGGAGGATTTAAGTTAAAGGCTGACAATTAACAGTCAGATAGGGACAGGAACTTTATAAGAGAGCACAGACAGAAGCTTCATGGACCACGAACCCCAAATTTCGGGGTCACATCAAAACCTTTTTCACGGTTTTATAGTCGTTTTGTAGGGTGAACCCTGTGTTTCGGGACCCCCGAACTGAGTAATTGATACATCAGACTGGAGTTCCTAGTTAACACCCAGAAATCCAACATTCCCTACAGTATGAAGAACAAAACACTGGCACAGGTTTGAAGTGAATCGAACAATGTTGGATTTCTGGGTGTGTATCATTTATCCAATTTGGGGGCCCCTACAAAACCCACCAAAAGAAACCAAATTTCAGGGTTCATAGTTGATGAAGTTCTACCACTATTCTCTGCCACCAGGTTTATTATGGAGACAATTAAGGAAACATTTTCCATAACAGAAAGCTGGTGATCTGTTTTCAGCTTTTTTGAATCACATTTAAAAGAATCCTTTAATGAAATTGCCATATATAAAAATTTTTTATAAATCAACAAATCTGAATACAATAAAAAAAAAAACATTTTTGTGTACATTCTGCATCACAGAATTTGGACAGTGGCATAGGGTTGCCATATTTCAAAAAGTAACATTTTTTTAGGAAGAACCCAAAATTGGTGAGCTTTTTTTAGGGAATTGTTGACCTTTTTATGAGAACAAACCCAGTCCAGCAACACCCAGAGTTTAAATATAGAAAGATAGATGAAACTGCTTGAGTCATACTATTGATATGTTTAGTCCTGACACCCGCTAGGTTTTGAGCTCCCCCACCCCCCCAAGCTTTTTTGGGAAAACCTAATCCAAAAATAGTGATTTTAAGCTTTTGGAGCTGTTTCCTCTGCTTTTTCCGTCGCATTGCCATACATTCAGGTTTTGCGTGTCGTGGTCCCCAAGCCACCCTCAAATAAAACACAATTCACACAGAATTTTAGTTTAAGGTTTTTGGCATAAATTTGGCCACAATTTTATTAAAATACAAAAAAATGTGAGTGGTTGCTTAGGCATTGGTTGCGACTATCTGACCCCGCACGGGGACAGACTGACATTCGCACGCCCGTGAAGTCAGAAAGGGGAAACAATTTGGGGAGAAAATGGAGCTGGGTGCCAGGCCCTCACCTCTCCCCCAAATGATCCCAGGGGCTCTTGCGTGGCCCTAGCCCCTTCACAGGGGTTCAGACAAGAGCATGGCGAGCCCCTGGATTCCTTTAACGGAATACCCTTGCAGCAACAGCATTGGAGGGGCAGGCACAGCCAACCACATTCACTCCACCAAACCAAAAATTAACCAATGCCTAACCGCAACCTTACAAGTTGTGACGATTTGCTGTGCAGCAGGCAAAAAACCAAATGGCAACAGCCAATCAGCCAAATGGACAAAATTCCTACCAGGCCCCTGCCCCAAAAGCAGACGACCCCATGACAGGCCTAGCAAGGTCAATGTGAACAACCCTAAATATGGGGAGGGTTGGCGGGTGATCTGATGCACGCAGCGAAAAGAGGAAGCTCAACGCTGCACACAGGGAATATAAAGCTAATAGGCTGTCAATCAGGAATAGCAACATTAAAATCTCCCCAACAACATAGAGGAGCCCAATCGCAAACGTGGCCATCTAATCTTACCTGCCCAGCAACAGAGGGATGACTTGCTAGACCCCACCACAACATGTGCTCTCCATGAAGGAGAACACGCTTTCCATGACATTTTGCCGATTCAGCAAAATTGCCCCCCCCCCCCCCGGCATTTTTACACCCCAAAACCCAGGTCATGTCAGGAATTTTCCTGACAAATGGCAAACCTACAGTGGCATAGCATTGCACCCTGCATCACAGCTCGCTCGCTCACTCTTCTCAAAAGGGCCTAGCAGAGTTAATTTTGCAACGCAGAGAAAGGGCCTGAAGCTTAAATTCTCTGATGCTGCAGGAAGAAGGAGTCACAGCTTCTTCCACTTGCCAGTGCTGGGTACCTGTGGTTGTGGCTGCTTCAAGACTTAAGAGTATGTGGTCCTTGGTCTAACTTCATCTTAGTGATAAGAACCTGGAATGAGTTTGGGGAGGGAGATTTTGCAGGAAAAGCCAAAATGGATCAAGCAAGGAAAGCAGATGAGGATACAGGTCCCTGCAAGCTATCTGTCTGCAGGCCTTTCCTTTGGCAAAGTTATCTGCCTTCTGGCAGCCTGCTGGGTGAAAAGGAAGAAAGGGAAAGGAGGAGATGAAAGGGATGTTCTCCTCCCACTTTTCCTCTGGCCTCGCTCACCACCAGCACATGGCCCCTGACAGCTTACTTCCAAGGGAACATAGCCCTCAGCAGGAAAAAGGAGACCCCTGCCACTAGTTTAAAGGCCTTATGTCCCACCCATTTTGGCTGCAACAGGAAAAGCAGCTGTGAGCTTTTCACCGTGAGCAGAAAGACAAGAACAGTGAGCATAAACCAATATTGCACATGGTTAGAGCACAACAAGTCCTGCCTCCCCCTAGACAAACTGACACAAACTGGTAGAAATGAGAGCATTGTTGAGATGCAAATTAAAATCTGACAGGCCAAATAAATCTATTGTTTCCCCTTGCTATGACTAATGGGAAACCCGTGATGGCGTCTCCAGGAGCAGCTTCCTTCACAGGAAAACACTGCAGTCTCAAAAAAGCGGCTTTCTTCCAGATACGTTTAATGAATGGTTGAGGAAAAAGGGATGGACAATACAATTCAAAACCCACGGAGCTTCAGCATCTCATGAATGAAATGAACAGGGATTTTTCCTATGGCACATAATGTCTTTTCTATATGGGCCTACATGTTAGGGTCATCTCTTGACTTTTTGTTTATAATTATTTTGCAATGCAATATTTATTCACAAGGTATCCTGTTGGGACAGCTGGCAGAGCTTGGCAGAGCTGGGAACCAACTGGCTGAAACTGAAATGTGCCACATCCAACCAGCCCTGCAGAGATGGGGTTAGGATTGTGTGCTTAATAATTTTTCTGCTTGTAGCGATTTAATGCATGGATGGTGCGGTGGTCTAAACCACTGAGCCTCTTGGGCTTGCCGATTGGAAGGTCAGTGTTTCGAATCCCTGTGATGGGGTGAGCTCCTGCTCCTCTGTTCCAGCTCCTGCCAACCTAGCAGTTCGAAAGCACACCAGTGCAAGTAGATAAATAGGTACTGCTGCAACAAGAAGGTAAATGGCGTTTCCGTGCTCTCTGGTTTCCATCACGGTGTCCCGCTGCGCCAGAAGCGGTTTCGTCATGTTGGCCACATGACCCAGAAAGCTGTCTGTGGACAAACTCCAGCTCCCTCAGCCTGAAAGCGAGATGAGCGCCACACCCCATAATCACCTTTGACTAGACTTATCTGTCCAGGGTTCCTTTACCTTTTTACCTTTACAGTGCGCTATGCTAGATGCTGCATGGTGTTAAACTCCATTTTTATTGCTTCTTTTGTTTTGTTTATTTCGATACAATTTCCATTCCAACGAAAGCACATAGGCTCTGGGATAATGATGAGAAAGCTTTCTATCAATTTATCATTACAATATGAAGAACGGTTCCCAGATGGGATGGCTGTGCAAGGCTGGGACAGCAAGGAATGTTGTGGCATGCCTATCAAATGTATTTCAGCACAAGCTTTGTGGACTGCAGTTACAGAGATGGGCTCTGGTCCACAGATGTCATCATCAGTCTGGCCCAGACACAGTGGTACCTCGGGTTAAGAACTTAATTCTTTCCGGAGGTCTGTTCTTAACCTGAAGCTGTTCTTAACCTGAAGCACCACTTTAGCTAATGGGGCTCCTGCTGCCGCCGCGCTGCTGGAGCACGATTTCTGTTCTCAACCTGAAGCAAAGTTCTTAACTTGAAGCACTATTTTTAACCTGAAGCAAAGTTCTTAACCCGAGGTACTATTTCTGGGTTAGCGGAGTCTGTAACCTGAAGCGTCTGTAACCTGAGGTACCACTGTACATAGAATCATAGAGTTGGAAGGGATGCCATGGATCATCTGGTCCAACCCCCTACAATGCAGGAATATGCATCCATATGGGGATCAAACCCGTGACCTTGGTGTTATCAGCACTATGCTCTAGCCAACTGAGTTAACTGGCACGGCAATGTATGGCAGGTATGTATGTACATATATACCACATTTTTTAAAAAAAAATAATATTTATTGAGTTTCCAAAAATTTAAACACTACAAACAAAGAAGCAAAAAGAAAAAAAACAAACGAAAAACAACACAATACAATACAAAAACACTACACATAAGACAAATAAAACAAAACAAAAACCATTTAAAACACATTAAACAATTTCAATGTCATATCTTTCGTTCGCTTATTTCCACGACTTCCTCACACCTCCCTTTTTGTATTCCACATCAATTAATTATTTCAGCAATTCCTTTCCATCTTCCTCTGTTTTCTATCCTATAATTATCTTAACACATTCCAACTTTATTTTGTTCCCTTTAATGCTCTATTGATCTATTTATACTTAATTCCTTATAGCATTTCTGCTAAAGCCATATAACTTCATTCCAACTTTGTTCTAACATTCATTAATTTTGCAATATTTCTATAAATAGTCTTTAAACTTCCAGTCTTCTTCCACCAGCTCTTCTCCCTGGTCTCGGATTCTGCCGATTCTCTCAGCCAGCAAAAAGCAGATGATTCACAACAAAATTTAGGGGTCTGGCAGGGCAAGTCCACCTCCTTCTTTAGCATCCATTAATATCTTATATTTTACTCGAGGCTTCCTGCCCTGCCAAACAAATCTAGAGACGTCCCTCTGCCACCTCCTGAGACAATCCCTCCCATCCAAAGCTTGCAATGTTTGAAACAAAAGCAACATCCCCGACCTCACCGCAACCCTCGTCCCCACCACAGCAACTCGGCCCAACAATAACAACTTCCAATTTAACCCTATTTCCAAATCCCCCTTCTCTTCAAGCCAACGTCCTTCACAGTTGCCCTTGAATAAATTCACATTTCTGGCGGTCATACTAACCCCCAAATACCTCTCTTTCTCAACCAATGTTAGTCCTATCTCCTCCTGAAACTCTATCAAGCTTTCCTTTTCCTCAGGTAGGGCTCTGATCCTCAATTTCATCTGTTTCTCTTTAAGTTCAGTCATAACAAGTGTCAGCTTGTATTCATCAAGTTGTCCTTGTATGGATGGGACTCTCTCTCTCTCTCCAGTTGAATTACTTTAACTTCAGCAGCAAGGGTTTTCTTCTTAACTTCATCCGCAGTTTGCCGTATCAGGGTAGATTCCTGTGTCAATTTCTACCGTTAAGTCAATTTTAATATTTGCAGCATCCACTTTCATAATTATCACATCCGTTTTCTTGTGAAGCTGTTCCAGCGAATCATTTATTTTCACTAATACAACCGCTAAGGCCTCTTCTGGCGACATTCTGTCTTTCCCATCTGCCATAACACTCAATAGATTCAAGGTCGGTCTCACAGTCTCACGGTTTTTATCTTACAGCTGGAAATTTCCCAGCCCAGATCTTATATAGCCGCCAGTTTCAAGAACTTCCACTAGAGGGAAACAGTTTCTATTTGTATTGATAAATAATATCCTCTTATAGGCACAGTTCAAACGACCCAAAACTAATTTCAATTTTCAGTTACTTTCACTGCTGGAGACAGTAGAAACAATGTATCTTCTCTTATGCTAGCTGTCAATGAACGATCCAAACGCTGTCAATAAACATCCCACCAAACGTCGAACCTACTAGCAGCCCGTTCCCAGGGTCCGAGCGGCGGTATTTTACCTCTCTTGGTCTCTTCCGCAGAAAAACTCAGTCCACAACCCCCCCCCCTTCTCCTGCTTCCAAGGGGGGGATTATATTCTTTACTTATGGAAATTTAGTCTTTTACAAAAGGCTTTCCAAGACTTCAGCTTGCAGCCTCAATTGCTTCAGTTTATTTACAAAAGGGGAAGGCGGACTTCCTGTATTGAACCTTCCCCGTTTCGATGCCAAATTAGACGTTTTAAAAATCCAAATTTCCCGATTAAGCTCTACGCACGGGTAGTTACTTTAGAATCAAATTGTCCACAGGAAAAAGTCAGCGCTCTCCGACAACAGCTATGCGGCTTCGCTCTGTGGAAGAAGCAGATGATTCGAAGCACCGCACCGCTCACCCCACGTCGCTCTGGATCCCCGAAACCGGGTTTCCCCGTGAGTGGGGGAGGCGCAAAAGGTGCCCACCGAATCCCACGCTCACAGGCTTCTCCCGCCTGTGATTTTTAACGGGTCTCCGCCTTCGCCCAGATTTCCACGGAGCCGATTCCTCCCGATCAGAGGAATCCAGCCATTGCCGGAGGCGCCTCCCCGGAAGTCCATATATACCACATTTTTCCATGTATAAGATGCCCCCATGTATAAGACGCCCCCCCCACACTTCTGGGGACCCCAAATTTAGAAAATGGGCATATGCACTATCCGTGTATAAGATGCCCCCAGATTTTTAACCTTATTTTAAAGTGAAATAACCTAGTCTTATACACGGAAAAGTACAGTACATAATTTATTTGTATGTTGCCTTTCCACAGTTCAAACCATGCTCAAGGCTGCTTACAAAATGAAAAAAATATGTAACCGCAACAGAACAAAACATAACAAAACAAAACATACAACATAACAAAAGCAGTTGATAAACAATAAATAAAATATGAAACAACACACAACCAAACTGAACTATTTCCACATAAATCACAAGGAGGTCTATAATAAAAATACAAAAATGGAACAATAGGTACTTCTAAGGCACAGAGAGGTCAAGATCCTGCAACTTCCACTCTGCACTCACACACTGGAAATTTTTATTCCCAGAGGCAAGACACCTCTGATGACCCAGGAAGCAGAGGTCTGTTTGCTAAGCAATGTGGTTACATGGAGTTTCTCCTCTCTTTAGGTTTCGAGGAATTGTGAAATGCAGCAGCAAAAAGAACGATCATTCCTATTGTGACGTAGGCACAGCTACGTGTGCGTTCCGAACCTGAAACAGGTATCTATAGCCACAGAGCTTCAGTGCCATCATCCACAAGCTTGGTGATTAGGGAATTCTGCTCTCAGAGTCTGTTGCATAGTTAACCCTCATTTCCACTGTCCGTACTGACTCTATTAAAACACCATTATCAAGACACATTCACAGTTTCAGTCAGGAGTTCCTCTGTACTCCCCAATCTAATAGGAAAGCAATTTGATATGCATGGAGCTATTTCAGATGCAGGCAGTGTGCCAAGAGAACGCTTCCCAAAACTTGGGCACCGTACATTTTCAGCACAAAGTTTCTTTTATGTCAGGTATTTCACAAGATGGTGCATTACTGTGCCATATGTAGCCTACTTTGCATTGGTAATTGAAACAAATTGCAAGAATCCCCCCAAGACCTCTGTAAGGTTTGTTTGTCAGACTGAGCGCTACCTTTGGGAAGTGCTACATGCGCTTCTGTGGTTTCATGAAAGAGAAACGGGAAGCACTACAAAACGAAAATGGAAATCATGCAAAGCTGAACCCCAATGAGCAATGGCTCAGATATTGGGGTGGCTCAGATATGAAACCACAGTCTGAGCAGGTATCGTGAACTGGCAGGACAACGGGGAGAAGGAACAGGATCCTGGCAAGGGGTGTAGCCAGGGGATGGGGGAGTGTCAGTACACAGAAACCAGAGGGGGCCCTGAGGCATAGGGAGCAGCCAGAGATATGCTCTCGGACAGTGTTTCCCAAACTTGGTTCTCCAGCTGTTTTTGGACTACAATCCCCATCATCCCTTACCACTGGTCTTGCTAGCTAGGGATGATGGGATTTGTAGTCCAAAAAACACCTGGAGACCCAAGTTTGGGAAACACTGTTCTAGGAGGCAGAAGCAGGCAAGGGCCCACAGCCCACCTCACTAGCTGGCCAGGTGGGGCTTTTTAGGTCTGGGGAGGGGGTTTTCAATTCATCAGCTGAAGCAGGCTTGGAACAGGTGAGGGTCACCTGCCTCATCGTGTCCAGATGCTGCAATCAGCATGCAAAGTACAAAAGGGAAGCAGAGCTGAGGTGCTGTGTCTGTTCAACTTCCAGTGTTGATGGACTACTGCAGGGGTCGGCAAACTTTTTCAGCAGGGGGCCGGTCCACTGTCCCTCAGACCTTGTGGGGGGCCGGACTATTTTTTTGGGGGGGGGAGAACAAATTCCTATGCCCCACAAATAACCCAGAGTTGCGAATCTTAACCATCTTTAAGCAGAAAAGTAACGTGTGATGTTCCTTTGCATTGGGTTCAAGTAGATGACTTCATTTTGTATTACTTGGATTTCGGGCTAGACTTTCGACACAGCTTTCACAACCGGCAATGCAACACTTCCTTGGTGTGTGACGTGCAGCAAGTGACAGCAAGTAATAGCTGTTAATGCAAAGCCTGCCTAGAAGTCACTGTGTGGCTCAGAGTTAATTTTACAAAGTGTAAGGGAAAGAGAAGACACCACCTTAGAAATGATGCTAAGGCACTGCTGGAAATGGCTCCAGTGCATTCTTCTCTGTATGCGTAGCTACATCATGATTCAATGTGTGTCAACAGAGGAAGGAAAATAAGCCACAGTTCCCTAGAGGACATGTACACACAAGATATTTACTAGGGAGCTGATTTAGCACATATGATATCTGGGCTGATTTGACCATTTCTAAAAGCAGACCAATGAAATTATAATGTTGTATGAAGACCCTCAACACGGTAACTTCTGTGTGCATGTGTGTGCATTGTGCAGGATGAGTAAGGCTTTCTGCATGCTCAGTTTCACTTTCGTTTCCTTTTTCTTTTTTTATTAGGCAATTTACAAAGCCCTGGGACAAGTTGTCCCTGACATTTGACAGCTGGTTTAGTATTAACAGCCTTAAAAAAAAAGAAAATTAAGTGGAAAAATGATAGCATTAGGATTTCAATTCCCAAAGTGTGATTTTTCTTTTTCTGAAAATGCATTTATTGAGATTTTTCAGTAAGTAAAGAAAAAAAAAGATGTAGAGACGAGAGCGAAGACAAGAGCATAGATTTAAAGCACGTATATTTCTTTTACAGGTGGCAGCAAGGAAAAAAGGACGATTGATGCCATTGTAAAGAAGTCTTTTCATGTAAAAGGTAAGTTCAGATAAGTGCATCAATTAGACAAGCCATAAGTTCTGAAAGACGGAAGCTACAGAATGGCCTGTTACAAAACTCCACCAGTCTGCAGCATAAGTCTTTCCCCACTCCCACCCCTTCTCCTGGTGTAACTGTTTTGTTAGGTTTTGTACTAGGTAAAGGGTAAAGGGACCCCTGACCATTAGGTCCAGTCGTGGACGACTCTGGGGTTGCGGCACTCATCTCGCTTTATTGGCCGAGGGAGCCGGCGTACAGCTTCCGGGTCATGTGGCCAGCATGACTAAGCCGCTTCTTTTTTTTTTTTTAAATATTTTATTAAGGATTTTCTTGTTTTACAGAAGTGTAGTGCCTCGTATTTTTTTTTTTCATGTAACATTTTTACAAATCCGTTTCATTTGTTGAGGCATTAGGGGGAGAAGAAAAAAAGAAAAAGAAAGGGGGGTGGAGAGAGGGAAGATGGATGGGGGTGGGGTCGGGTGGCGGAGTTTCTATTATGTTTAATGTATGTAGAGTTTGGTGTCAGCGTTGCTTGTGTTGTTCACTTGTGTTCCTTTGGTGGTGAGAGAGGTTGGGGTTGGCCAAGGGTGTGATTGTTTGCTTGTGATTGGCTGTGGTGATCTTTGTTTTCGTGTGTGAGTGAGGTGGGTGGGTGTTTTGGATCAGGTTAGCGACTAAGCCGCTTCTGGCAAACCAGAGCAGCACACGGAAACACTGTTTACCTTCCCGCTGGAGCGGTACCTATTTATCTACTTGCACTTTGACGTACTTTCGAACTGCTAGGTTGGCAGGAGCAGGGACCGAGCAATGGGAGCTTACCCCGTCGCGGGGATTCAAACCGCTTACCTTCTGATCAGCAAGTCCTAGGCTCTGTGGTTTAACCCACAGCGCCACGTGCATCCCCCAAGTTTTTTGTACTAGAGCTCTCCTAATATTCAATTCTGATAAGCATGTAATAACCCCACTTTGGGGGTGCAAATGGAGAATCTGAGCTCTTTTGGATCTGACTGTAGTCCCTAAAATGTAGCGGGAATTTTTAATATTAATATGTTAATATCAGACATTTCAAGTCTGAGCAGGTGTCCTTACAACCCCACTGCTTCTTTTATCGCTCACGTTAGAAATCAAAACACCAGGTACTTCTCTCTCATTGTTATCTGCCCACAACTGCCCACCCCACCCCCAGCAAACTTGACTCATCACCTTCTCGGCACAAAGCCGGAAAAACTGTCCTTGTGGTTTTGATGCTTCCGTCTAGACATTTATTTATTTTTAGGCTCTGCATGGCGGTTGCATTACATACACCTGAAAGGAAAGGTAAACAGTGACAAAGCGACAGGCCACAAAGCATTCCAGATACAAACGGAATACTTTGCTACACCCAGACAATGGGGGAAAGACTTTATACAGGTCCGTAATCAGAAATGGTGTTTGTGGGAAGGAAGGACAGCAGAAGTCATTACAGGCTGGTGGTTTTAAAACTTGCAGGGGATGTCCATAGTGACTGGCAAAATTCACGGTTCTTGTATTCATTTACAAGGTCCTTAACACCTTGGGTCTAGGATACAACTTAAGGATCGCTGGATTCCTTACATCCCTGCTGATCACTGAGATCTTAATGGCTTCCCCATGGCTCAAATGCAAAGCTTCTATCCATCAGGAGTCCTGCATTAAGTATTTGGGGCCCATTTTCCCACTCCACCTTTTTGTAAACTGCTTAGTGCTTTTATGTACAATCAAGAAGTACACATATTCTGTCAAATAAATGGGGGGGGGGATCTGTGATGCTCCAGCGGGTTAAGTTGGTTACACTTTGCACTGGACTTTTGCCCATCATGTATAACGGATATCTGTGGCATGTGGCGATTTACATAATTAAATAAAAATTGTAGGGGGGAAAGTTAGGGCCAAAGGCAACAACTTTTGAGGGTGACTGGGGGGGGGGTGGCTCTCATCTCCCTTGGTGACAACTGCCCTTGTTTTTATTGCATGCCCACACCATTCTTAAAATCTTGGGGGGGGGGGAGAAACATTCCTTCCTTGAATACATCACTGCCACCACCAGAAGGGGGTCCTTCCTCAGAGCAAGGCATTCGGGAAGTGGCCCAGAAGAGTGACGTCACCACTCCCATTTTCCAAGGGTGACTAGAAACTCAAGTTTAAAAATTGCCTAGAAGTCTACATTAGCTTCCAAACAGTGATTTAATACAATTTTGAGAGAGAATGTCTCGTCGCTTCAGAATAGCAGTGGTGGTGCAAGCGCCCTCACAGGCCTGATTTCCCAGACTGCCTCATTTTGAAGAAGGGCCTCTTTCCCTTCCTTAGAACAAGGCAGAGATGGGGGGCGAGGCAGAGATGCAGCAGTGACAAAACATTAAAAGATATTGCACAGGTACGCTACTGAATTTTCCCAAGGGACTAAAGCAGAGTTATCTGAACACGCAAGGTTGTAAAATGGGGGTGAGACTGGGGTGTGCATCCCAGTTGCAGAGTTTTAAAGCACATCTCTTTAGCTGATGTGTAGCCAGCACGGGACTCCAGTCTGCAGAGCAAAAGGAGACAAAGAACACCTGAAACCACCTCAAAGGAAAACAGATATTCAGGCAAAAGGCATTGAAAGTGTGTATGGGGGGGGGGGAGGTGTAGTGTTTGGCCTTAGCTGGAGACGGGTGCTTAACAGTTGTCATTCCTGAAGATCAGAAGAGGAGAGGTGTAAATTGAAAAGAGATGTCCCAGCTCTTGTCAGACAGGAGGCAAACATCACCTTAGACATTTGAAAGGATGCTTAGGATTTTGCAGGAACGGGAAAAGGATGTTAGAATCAAAGCATCAGGTCCCCTTCCTGTAATTCCTTTGCTTTTTAACACTTCCTGTGGGCAGATTTCATCCTATTTTATTGCGTCCATATAAGAATAACTAGGGAATAGTGAAACTTTACCTTAATGTATTGCAGCATAAGTTCCCTCTTTTTTTGTGAAAAGGTAGCAATTTTTTTTTTAAGGGAAAGCAATCTGTTTTCATACATTTCTAGTGTAAATCATCAACTTTACTACTAGAAACTTCATATCTTTAGTTCCTGTACTTACAAAATCTCTTTTACAAAGGTTCTCAGTTGCCTTTCAAATGTATGTCATTTTAAGTATTAGGTAGAAGACAGCGCTGTTCTGTAAGCTGAGGGAGTCAACTCATTTAAGTGATACCTAAAGTATAGGCCCAGTCATCTTTTATCAATCAAACCCACAAATTTAGAATTTTAAACATTTTAACACTCAGAAAGCTTGCAATTGTCCTATCTACACTTCTGGTGGGAGCGTCCTGTGATACAAATTTCTTGGAGATCAATATTCCCTCAGCAACATAATGGACCAACCAGTGGTTGTCACTCCAGAATTACCCTTACTGAATATATTCCTGAATAACAACTCAGATTTACACAGCAGAAAACTTACGAGGAGCTAGACACACAATCACTAGATATTAGGAAGCCCTTGCAAGCATGATGAAAACTAACTGGTACAAACTGGTCTGGGAAAGATTGACAAATAAATTAAAGATATCCAAGGGACAAAATAAGAAAGACAAATGTACTTCTGTCTGGTTTGATTTCATAGAACATGAACAAGCCTCCTGCCCAATTTAGCTACAGTCTCAGCTTGACAATATCACTTCTCTTATGTTTCCTATCCTTTTTACCTGTTAGACAGTAAGAAAAGCTGAAAAGCCATTGTCAACTTAATCTCAATACCATTTGAGGAATTGGGGGGGGGGGGGGAAATACCAGCACTTGCTTGTTCTGGGAAAGGTTGGTTATTGGAAAGTATCATACCACACTGCATGGATGCTTGGCGCTGTTCTTCTTTTATGTTTTGTATTTGATCAAAAGCTTTGTATCTCAGTGGTCAAAGTTAGCATTTTGGATAATATGTTGTCCACATGCTCTCCTTTGGGTGGTCATATATGCAACCTGATTGACCATTTAGTTTGTTTTGTTTACAGTGATATAAAATTTGTTATAAAATTTAAAAACAACCAATCATTTTAAGTATAGAAATTGCCCCAAGTAAGCCAATTTCTGTCTCAGTTCTTGGATCTACTTCAGCAGGAGTGGGGAGTCTCAGTTCCGGGGCCCAAAAGTGGCTCTCCGGGCCTCCTTACCCAGCTCTTTGGACTCTTGTCCAATGGTCCTCCATTGGTCCTACATCCTCCAATGGTCCTACATCCTCCATTGGTCCTACATCCTCCAATGGTCCTACATCCTCCATCGGTCCTACATCCTCCATTGGTCCTACATCCTCCAATGGTCCTGCTCTACATGCTTCTCAGCTGCTTTTGTCCGGCTATAATATGTACTTGAACTATGATAACGTGGTAAATGGTAAATGGCCAAAGGCATGGGTTGATGCGAGTTGTAGTCATCAACATCTGGAGGACCAAAGATTCCCTTGATCTAGGATCTCATAATAAAAACAGCTAAGGGTCGTGAGCTGCATCCAATGAAATGCTTCCACTAGGATAAGGACCTTTGGCTGTGCAACTGAATTTCCCCGCCTCCTCCTTTCCCCTTGCCCCCTCCTAAATCTGTTATGGGTTTTCCTTAACCCTCCAGGGTAGATTTTTTGGGGGGTGTTGGTGGGGGGCAGGTCCACAGGGAGAGAAAGATCCATTGTTCAAGTGGAAATTCTTGTGCATAAGTACTTTGTTGGATATCTTGCTAACAAATGTATTGTGGTATATGCTCTCCTGGACAACAGACCACTTCGCAAAAGCTTATGCGGTAAGAAATTCTTAGTCTTCCAGGTGCCACAAGACACCGTTGTCCTTGCTGTAACTAACAACTATCCCTCTGCAAACTGTTACAATGGAAGGAGCTTATAGTGTTAGCGGCAGAGCCTGGGATTAGAACTCAGGAGCCGCTGCCTCCAGCTACTAGAGCATGCCAGAAAATCTTAGCATTCACAGGATTAGCCACATAAATAACAAAAAGTTCAGACAGGCTAAACTGAAAACAGACAGAGCTAAGCATTGGGCTTCCTTCAGGCAGATGATAATGCATCTGGACCAGAGACACTTTGTTAGTTGATAAGCTTGGTAAGATTAGTGTAAATAGCTACAGAAGCAGAATGCTAATAGAAATGGCAGTCAAGGGTATCTGCTAAAAGCCAGGAAAACACATGTAAGTAGACACACACACACACACACACACACACACACACTATGCCTTTAAGGAGTTGAAATGTTCATTTAGTTCATTCAACTTTAAAAGCACACTCGCCATTAATTTGCCAATGTCTTGCAGGAATATTCTCTTCCCTTTATATAATCTACAGTGCACAGTGGCTGCACTCTGACACATAGGTATCTATGTTCTCTCAGCTGTGATCTTTTATTTTCCACTATTCCAGAGATGTCCAGCTGATGGGCTACATGCAAAAAGTCCAGATAACAGCTATAACGTAGCACAGAGGCATACTTCTCAGACCTGCGATTTCGATCTGTTTAAGCATGCCAAACTCTGTGCCAGATTATGGCCTATAATACCCCTGCAATATAGTCGAATGGTATCCAGACCAGAAAAAGAAAACACGACAGTAGTAGGGGATATCTACAATGGTTCTGGGTTAACTAGGGAACAGTGACAGAAGCACACTGAGTAGGGCCTGTTGTTGTTTAGTCATTTAGTCGTGTCCGACTCTTTGTGACCCCATGGACCAGAGCACGCCAGTTGTCTTTGTCCATGGAGTTTTCTTGGCAGGGATACTGGAGTGGCTTGCCGGTTCCTCCTCCAGGTGGATCACGTTTGGTCAAAACTCTCCACTATGACCTGTTCATCTTGGATGCCCTGCTCGGCATAGTTCATAGCTTCTCTGAGTTATTCAAGCCCCTTCGCCAAGGCAAGGCAGTGATCCATGAAGGGGAGTAGGGCCTAGACTTGGTCATATTTAGAAAAGACCTGCTGAAAGTGATGAACATCTCAAGTCTCATTGATTTCAGTGGCTCCCCTTCCATGAAGACTATATTTGTTTAGGTCTCACCTGTGTGGCCAGAGAGACTGGGGCAAGCAGGGGAAGAGGGTGAGTGAGAGGGTTCACTTCTGAATTGCCTGAGGGCAAGTGATAATACTACAAACAGAAGGAAGGGGCAGTCTTGTTAGGGGAAGAAAGAAACCGCTGCAGCCACCTCCTGTACCAGTCTCAGCATTCCCAAACCTTAACAGTGCCCGTTTCTTCATTATATCATCAGCATGGCTTAAATGAGGAAGATTTGCAGGGGCCAAGAGTGAACTACTTCATGATTACTCTTCATTGAGTTTGTTACTGACGGATTACACACTTGCAAATAAAGATGCCCCAAGTTTAAAAGGCACCCAAGCCCTGGTTAAACGACTTTTCTCAATCCACTCAGATGTTTCTGCAGTAGCCGTATTAATACATTCCAGCAGCGGCCTTATATTGCAAAATATGAAACTTAACTCGTGGCCATTATGAAGGCATTAATCTTCCACCTGTCACTAATACTGGCTAGGCAGTTTTTCAACTATCTGCCCTCAACATTGCTAGTTGGCCCTTTGGGGATTAAATCTGTAAAGTGCTGCCTGCAAAAGTGTTATCACAGGTTACAGCCACACAAAATTAGCATCCAAAATATATACTTAGTGCTCTCATTACAAATGTGCATTATTAGTCTACACGGCAGAGTTCATATCCACCAATGGGCTAATTATACCAGAAGCAATATTTCCAAGTGACTTTCTTTCAGTGTTCCTCTCTTATTTAAAATCAGGGAGAAGCCATGGAGAGTTTCATTCCAGATACAGCAAACTGAGCATTATTGGATCCTGCAGATCAAAGTACACTGGCCTCTCCTTATTTTAACAACACTGTGATTCTTAATACAGTACAGTGTTTTCAAGTGCTGAAAGCATTTCCCACACATTGCCTCACTGCAATCCTAACGGCAACCCCATAAGGCAAGACGGCAGTAATATTATCCCCGTAAGGCTGAGAGAGTGTAACCACCAATGAAGTAATGTCTGAGGTGGGACTTGAACCAGGGACCTTTGGATTTGTAGCTCAATCTCTTGGACACTACACTACACCAGTTCCTTAACATTTAAATAATCAGGCTTAACTGCTGCACCCTTCAGCAGATATATTCATTTCAAAAAAGTTGCAAGTTTTCTTTCCTGTCTCCTGTGACTTCATCAACAGTCACATAGCAAGGAGAAATCCAGCAGTTCTTATCTTTGCACCTACACATTTTAAAAGCCCATTACTTAAGCATTTAAAAAGGTAAAGGGACCCCTGACCATTAGGTCCAGTCGTGGCAGACTCTGGGGTTGCGGCGCTCATCTCACTTTATTGGCAGAGGGAGCTGGCATACAGCTTCTGGGTCATGTGGCCAGCATGACTAAGCCGCTTCTGGCAAACCAGAGCAGCACACGGAAACGCCGTTTACCTTCCCGCTGGAGCGGTACCTATTTATCTACTTGCACTTTGACGTGCTTTTGAACTGCTAGGTTGGCAGGATCAGAGACCGAGCAACGGGAGCTCACCCCATTGCGGGGATTCGAACTGCCAACCTTCTGATTGGTAAGTCCTAGGCTCTGTGGTTTAACCCACAGTGCCACCCGTGTCCCTACTTAAGCATTTACTCTACCAGAAAAAAAGGTCTGTCAAACTGTTGGAAGTACAAAAGCAGGGATCAGTTTGTAATTTAAGGGTTAATTTTATTAGTCTTAAAGTCAACTAGACAGGAGGGGGTGGATGTGTTGCTGAGCAACTGGGTGGAGTAGCATGATCTATGCTGAGGTAGCACATACCCCAATTGGCTGTGTGGTTCTAAGGAAGTTTTTACTTTGTATGTTTGGTCTAATGTCCCCTTGATATATTCAAAGCCTGATATGAAAAAGACAAAACTTGTCTGTTCCTTTCTCCTCAGATTATACAGGTTTATAGCTGTTGCTCCAAATACAGTCCACAAGTTCTTTGCTGCAGAATACTCTAGTCTAGAGCAAATGACTTATAGATGGCCTATCCCATCTGCTACTGTGTCCAAGTCACCAATAAGTATCAAGGTCAGATTTATGCACAAGTTAAGTAAACCACAATTTAGGACCTCAGATTATGAGGGGCTTCTAAATTAAAAAGTCTACATTTCAAGTTTTACACAACTGGTTAAAAAATAAATACATTTTATTTAGATTCTTAGTTTTTGCTTACATCCTCCCCTCTGTACTGGTCTATATCCAACTACAACACTTTATTATTTCTGTTTGCATTGGCTTTTCTGTTAGACTAATGCACTTTTTTTTTTTGCTAAAAACTATGCAGCTTCCTAACTTTGACATAGCCTAGGGCTCAGCATGTCTTACTCCAGCTCTGATGGGCATGGGAAAAAACATTTTCTGCCTATGTGAGCAAAAGGCATTCCCTTAGAAAAGAGCTGCACAAATTATATCGTGGTCAAACATACAAAGTTTAGAAGAGAAAATGTTTCTTTACAAATTTAGCAACTTTCCTTTGAAATCTTACTCAATATGCATCAAGAAATTGCAATAAAACACCCAAGAATTTATTGCTCCTTTCCCAATACAAGTAGAGATCAGCTGTAGGTTTCTTGTTATGACTCATGGACATTTGGTTGACCCAACCAGGGCTAAGGGCTATTTCAAATGTCTCTTATTACTTACGACACATCTTTGTCAAAGTCTGAATGGTGGGAATGCATGACAAAGAAGGATTTAAACTGGTCATAATTTGATAAGAAAAGCAACTTAGCGACATAACTTTCCCAATCAGTGAATGGCATGTTATTCAATGGAACAAAAGGAAAAGCTGTCCTGTTAAAAATAAAATGGTATTGAAATAGAATGTTGTTTAGATAGATTTGAGTTATTTTATCTGGCACCTAAAATTAAGCTTGCTTAGGTTGGAGCTAAACATTTGGTAGCAAACACAGGATTCCTAAGCCCATGTTTGCTTCCAACAGGCAATCTGGGATCCCATTTGCAAAGGAAAAGCAGCAGGTAAGAGCTGTGTTTAATCCTTCGCACCACCTTAATTCTGAAATCACTTCCCCTTCACCCAGCCCCAGTATTGGATTCCCTGATGAAGTGAAAAAGAGGAAGGAGTGATTCCCAAAACGAGTGCCAAAATTATGGTTAGAAAATGTTACAGAGGAGAAGTGGTGGCAGTGGATGGGCAAAGCACTGCCTTGCCAAACACTTCTGCCTGGCTCCATTCTCAGCACTGGAGACAAACACAAGGCTGGGAATCCAGTCTATGAAATCAAACATCTAGTAGTGCCTATAGATAACTTGGGAGACTAATCCGAAGTTGCATTAACGCGGGTGGCGCTGTGGGTTAAACCACAGAGCCTAGGACTTGCTGATCAGAAGGTTGGCGGTTCAAATCCCCGCGACGGGGTGAGCTCCCGTTGCTCGGTCCCTGCTCCTGCCAGCCTAGCAGTTCGAAAGCACGTCAAAGTGCAAGTAGATAAATAGGTACCGCTCTGGTGGGAAGGTAAACAGGTTTTCCGTGCGCTGCTCTGGTTCAGCAGAAGCGGCTTAGTCATGCTGGCCACATGACCCAGAAGCTGTACGCCGGCTCCCTTGGCCAATAAAGCGAGATGAGCGCCGCAAGCCCAGAGTCGGCCACAATTGGACCTAATGGTCAGGGGTCCCTTTACCCTTTACCTTTACAGCTGAAATAAAGGAGGCTGGCCTGGGAAGCCACTTGGATGCAGACACCCATGATTTACAATAGGGCAAGCCCAACTTTTTGTACCAGGTGAGCTGCAAGAGAACTTCAACACAGAACCCACAGGCTGCACACAGGTTGCGCAGGCGCAGGGAGTGAGGCCAGAACTTGCCCCATCCCAAGCCCTCATGCTGCCTTTCCAAAGCTGGCTAAGCAAGATGCCAGGCTTTGGGAAGGAAGTGTGAGGCTCTGGCAGAGTCCTAGGGCCCTCCCACCTCCTTCCCAAAGGTGGGAGAGCCTTAACTAGGCTTTAGAAAGGAGGTGGGAGGACTCCAGGACACTGGCAGAACCCTCACACCTCCTTCCCAAAGCCCAGCACCTCGCTTACCTGGCTTTGGGAAAGCAGCACAAGATCTGTGGGCAGGGGCGTCAAATGTTGGTGAGAGCCACCCAAAAAGACATTGAGGGTTGCATGTGACTCTTGGGCCAGACGTTGGACTGCCCCAATTTAAAATATAACTTTGCATTTAAATGCACATTTCTCTCAAAATATGCATCTCTGAACTTCTCGAAATACCTTTACAAATATATTTATAACTGTATTTTACCGATGTTTTCCAAGTGTGAAATCCAATAGATAGCTACATCTCAATCTACACAAGTAGTCCAGGAGGGGCAGATCTGGTCAGTTTGTGTTGGAAACTGCAACACCCAAATTCCTCATGCATCCCTAGATAGGGGTACATTTGGGAACTGTAAAAAAGCTGTTCTGAGTTCCTTGGAGAAAGTGATGTATCAAGTGTATAAATTAGTATAAACAATTTTCCTCCTGGTTCATGGCGCACTGCATAACTTTACCAGATATTGTCCCAAAGCAATACCCCTTGACACACAATTATGCTCAATAACAAGTATTATAGCAGAAAACATGTCAGACTGAATTCAACTCCTGCTTGGCCACAAACTCACTGAGAGCACATCCTTACTCATGTCTACTCAAAAATAAGTCTGACTTGAGTCCCATGGAACTTACTACCAGGTGTGTAAAGGAATGGCGCAGCCTGAGTAATCCCATCAGCCTATAATTTGCAACTTTATGGTGGAGCTGTTTGACTTACCTTGAGGGTTTATGAACGATGAATGACCAGACAGATTACAAAGCCCTTTCACACTCAAAAAGCACCCTAGAAAATGCATGAAGCTAAGTAGCTTGAAAACACCTGCTCAACTGAGTTTCCACTTCTGCCTCAAAGTATAAATTCCTGAAGCCACTTTCATAATCTGCAACAGACACATCCATCCCTCTTCACTACATTCTGTTTGGTTCTTTAAAAGAACGAGAGAGAAAATGCAATGTCGTAGGAAAGTTCAATGCTTTGAATGTTGGCAGAAGTTTATCAAGAATCCATAAATTTCAGTGTGCCTATGCAGAATATGTCTTAGTCAAGGTACCACCCTTAATAATTTGGCAAGTGATTAAAAATAAAATCTGAACATACTTCAGCACAGGTTGTCTTCATGAAATGTGGTGCTGAGAGTATTTCAGTTCCAAATGTCTGAGAAGCCCCTATAAGATACAAGAGGCTCAGAGATCACAGATAAGATTTTCCATTCAGTGAAGCAACCAAACCTCCCCCCACAAGCTGTGTTTCCTGTACCATTAGATATCATCTCCATAACGTAACAAATACCGAGGCTGTAGTGATAATGACCTGCCTGCCTAAGCTATTCTTTATACAATCTGAAGCTGAAATCAGATATAAATGGAGATTGTCCATCAAAGTACAGCTACTCTTAAGTGTTTCTTTTTCGTCTCCAACAATTCAGAAAGACAGGATGACTATAAAGACACCCACAGCTCTACCCTTGGGGCGTACAATCTCTGAAGATCTATACGGATTTTTAAATCATCAACATCAAACGCAACTATTATGGGTTGCAACCAATGGTGGCTTTGCCTTAGCAGAAATAGCCTCTGCTTGTGCAAATTAGGTGACCTGCTTTTTGCTCAACTCCCCTATCCACTTCCCCAAAAAGCTAATTTTACTTTTTTCAGGACGGGGGGGGGGGACCCCTCCATAACTGAATATAATGCAGACGGCTGCAGTAAGTCCTGGCATCCGCTCCCAGTTTCACTTAAAAAGAAATACTACTTCCCTTATGAGTAGAACTGCACAAAATTCTTGCCATACCTTTACTGTATTTAAAAACTGTTAAGATTCCACAGAATGGCCACTCCTGCTTTCACGATTTCCTGCCGGATTCCCAGGATCTCTCTAAAACACAAGTATCTAACCTGAACCCCCATCCTGTTCAACACTCTCCTAAAGTACAACAGCTTATTGTAAAAGATTACCAGATCATCATCACAGACCAAGTGTCTTTGGCTCAACACTTGTTTGCACAGGAGAATGCAGACCTGTCTTATAAATTGCAAATGGAGCTGAAAATGTTCACGGTCTTACTCCATCAAACAGGTCCAATATACATTTTTATATTTATACAGATGAACGTTACTGTTTTGCAATCTCTGCCCTGGGCCATGATTTGAAGACGAGCAAGGCCTGGATTGGAAAAGGTGAGCAACTCAGTGAGCAGGAGTAGCAAATGGGGCATTACACAAGCTATATTCTGAAACCCCTCCATCCTTGGCAGCGTTTAACTCTCCTTTCCATTATGCTAGGCTGGATAAATGCTTCTGACAATGCAGTTAAAGCAGAAGGCTGCAATTCCCAGGAAGGAATGGTTTTTGGCAATTTTGCTTTAGCAGATGCAGCAGTTAACCCCCCTCTCCTTATATTAAACTATCCAGGTCCCAAGAGCACTGATAGCCTATATACTTCCTCCTCCTCCTCTAAGGCCTCACAACTATTACATTATCATTATGTCAGTTGTGTGCTGCCTTGCATGAACAACTCTGGTGGAAGCAAATACATGATCAAGCGCCATTGCAGTTATAATAAACGCAGGGCGTGGGGCTAGCCAAGAGGGAACAAAACTGAGAATTTGGTTCTGTTCAGCTCCAGAGGTTTTCGCACAGCAAAGATCAGACTTTGAGCAACATGGAAGAGAATCCAGAGTGAATTGTGGAATCCAGGATGGATCCATCCCAGCCACGGGCAATGATAGGCTATTTTGAACAACCTGCCAAGGCTTCCCTGCAGCAAGGCTTTGGAACATGCACACGAACAGCATCCAGGCTGCACATGCTTCTCCCTTTTGTGCCTTTTTCTGGAAACTGATCGCATGTGGCAGGTCCAGAGTACTGTACTTCCACTCTGGTCAATACCCCACACTCTGGTCAGGATAAAATTATGTCTATGGCCTGTTATACCCCCTGTAGTTTTAAGCTCACTTAAGTGATTATTCTCGAACAGTTCCCCAAATAAAACACCAATGTGTGTCAGGTAGGTCTGGAAGTTCCTTTTTTTTTTTTTTTTTACTCTTTAGGAAGCACATGCACAACTCAGGAAAGAAAAAAACCCCACATTCTCATTACTGCCTCACACAAGTGGTATTTGATAGTCCATTATGCTCTTTATGTTGGATCCCTCTCTGGTAAACATCAGTAGGCTTGAATCTATGGCATTATGTTTTCTTTTAATATAAAGAGTAACCAGATACAAGACGAACTCTGAACTGAGCATCATAGTAACTTCCTTTAGAGAGAACCTAAATGAGCACAAAACCTGAGCAGTCTAAAGGCTTGTTATTTTATGGTATGCCCTTTCTGGCTTAAGCACAGCAAATGCAAACGAATTTTTTTTAATAAAAAAAACCCAAAGAGAACTATTTTTATTTTGAAGAAAGTCTCACAGAGCTCAACAGAACCTGCTTCTGAATAAGCAAAACTAAGCATATCACTATCCAAAAGTGCTCCAAAATTAAGACACTGCCTCAAGCTCAGTTAGACCAAGAAATGGTTTCAGTGCTTAAACAGTGCCCACATTTGCAAGGCAAGTTCACCTGGACAGCTACGACCAAAGGTTCAACTAAGTTTGTGGGGTCTGATTATCGTTTCCAGGCAATTAAATCTGCTTTAGTAAGTCCCACAGTGTTAACATTAGGAGACATATTGCAAGGTTAGCCTAGACCAGGGTTTCCCAAACATGGGTTGTTTTTGGACTACAACTCCCATTATCCCTAGCTAGTGGTCAGGGATGATGGGAATCGTAGTACAAAAACAGCTGGAGATGAACTTTTGAGATAGGCTACACTGTGAAGTTCTCTGTGAAGGTGACTTGAACCTCCCATTATTTAAAGGTTTTTAAAAATACTAAAATCATGCTATATATGATCTGGTATAGTAGAATAGCACAATGTGAATTCACTAAACGTGATACATAAGAATCTACCAAAAACAAGAAGTTTTCTAAACAAGAATAATTTCTTTCCTGCTTCTCAGTTCAACCCACTGCAAACCAGGCAAGCTTTCAAATCAAACAGCAGGCACCCACTTCCAGACTGTAGAACTCTCTTTCATTTACTTACTAGACTTAACAAACTACTGTAAGTTTTAGTTCAATTAACCAATTAAATATTCATTGACCCTTAATTTATCCACTTCCATAGCCTGCTTCAAAGAACACCTACCACCTTTTGTTCTTGTTAAAAATAAATGCCTTGAACTGCCAGCAGCGATTGGTATCCAGGCACTAACTCCACTACCATTTCTCACACACTGCAAAACGCATCCTCATACATGAGTGTTGACATGAATGTGTGAATAGAGAAGCAGTTCACAGTCTCTTATAATGAAACACATTTTTCAGCTTCCAAAATGAGTCTGCTAACTGATTGCTGGATCACAAATGAGGCAAAATTACCATTTCATCCCATTCGAGGATTCAGGAAACATGAGGAGTTTTAAGATGAGCAATGCACTCTTAACTGCATTTACAGTACACAGAAGTTACCACTGAATTCAGTGGGCCTTCCTTAGGATTTCAGCCTCTGACTTCCAAATGTTTTAATGATTGATACAGTGCAAGTAATCCATAATTTTTTATCTTATGGCAGCTTCTCTGAGCTCCATGTAACTTTACTTGTAGTGAACCTGCTAAAAACTAGGATACACAACAAATTAGAAGAGTATCTAGCTGTGCAATGAATTTTAAAACATTGGTGCATACCTGCACATATAATTTAGGGCAGTGCTCTTCAAACACCAGATGTGGGTAGACTATGACTCCCATCATGCTTGATCATTGGGCTACGCTTGCTGCAGATGATGGGATTTGGAGTCCACCCACATCTAGGGAGCCCAGGTCAAGGAGCACTGATTTAGATGATTCAAAATACCATTATAAATGAGTTCAAAGTATTAGCTGTATACACCAAATCTCACAGGCCGCAAATCCCTTTTCTCAAGTCATGTTACTAGGCCAGGCTTCACCAACGTGGTGCTGCCCCCCCCCCCCCCGATGTTTTGCATTACAACACTGCTCAACCCTAGGCTATGCTGATGTGAATTTTGGCCGAAAACATTTGAAGAGCAACAGGCTGACAAAGCTTTTAGGCAGTTATTTGTGTCTGACCATTTGCAATCTACTAGGATTGCACATTTAATCACAATACATAAAAACCCACAAAACTTTTCTTTTTGTAAAAAAATGGCAACTGTATTAAAAGATTTTTTTTAAATGAATAAAACATCTATTAAATGTCTGTCCAGGATTTAAAATTACAGTTATCGAGATTCTGTTTTCCAGGTACATCACATTACAATTCTTTTCATTGCTGGTTGAAGGTATATCTTTTACAAGGAGAACACACACACACAAAATAAAAAATAAAAAAAATTGCTAATACCTGTGAACTTGAATTTTTTTAATTAAAAAAAAACCCCTGAACGCCATGGAAACTAAACTGGAAAAAAGGCTGAAATGGAAAACAAGAGAAATTAATTCTGTTAATAATAGGCCCTTTTGTTCTGGCTTGCTCTGTATGATTACAGAAAGGAAATGGTTAAGTAGGGGTTTTTTTTAGTAGTAGATAATGGGATTCTTGGAACCTCCACAGGTTGGCACTGGCTGCAACAGCTGTTTTGAAGGCACTCTACAGACACAGGGCTGCTGTTGGCCCTGCATCACATTCTAGGAAGTATTTGTACTTTAGAGAGCTAGTTGTCAAAATTGGTTATTGCCAACCCCCACCCCCTCGAATTAAATTAAACCATCTCCTAGCCCTCCCACCCACCCGCCCTCCTTCCCAAACCAAACCCCACAAAACACACAACTTAAAAATTGTGCAGATCTGTAATGTTTTCACAGCCGATTTTCTTTTTTTAAAAAAACAACAACCAAAAAGACAAATAAATGAATGCTCTCCATTCCCTCCCTTTCGATACAGCAGGTAAACAAAAATAGAAGATTTCACAATTAAATCAGCAGACACTTCTCTGGCACCTCGCACACCATATTGGCATCAGTGTTATTAAAAGTCCCAGGCAGTACACGTGCAATACTTCTCCAGATGGGATAGGCTTGTTAACAAATATTCCAACTTTGCATAGAAATCCGCAAGAGCCAAAAGTTTCCTAGTCACTGGCGGAGTTCGGACTGGCAAGTGGAGGGCTCTTTCTCTTCTCTCCTCCCCTCCAGTAACACAATCATTCCTTCGCTGCTGCTCCCCTTCATCTCTTGTTAAAAGCAATGGCTTTTAACACACACAAAAAACTCCCCCACTGGTTCTTGGTTGCCAATACAGCCCTCTCTGCAAGGAGGTACTTACAAGAAATAAGCAACAATCAAATGGATGGCATATACATGTTGGAAGCGCCACACTTCCAACGGGATTTGTGTGTGTGTGTAAGGGGGAGTGGGTGGGGTATATTTTTTGCACCAGATGTTAACGAGAGACAATGCATACCCATGACACCGATAACCACCACCAGCAGCAATAGCATAAGAAGCCGTAACCTGGAAGGAATCCGGGTGCAATGCAAAATTGTCTCAAAAGCTGGAATTTCACAGGATGACAACATTGCTGCCACAGCCGCTCTGTGTGTGTGATGGTGTTGTAAACCTTTAATTCAAGAAAAAAAAAGGAAAAATTTAAAAAAAAACAATAGAAAGCAATACAGTCGTGATGTCCTCTCCTCCTTTCAGAGGATCACGCAGGAAGAGCAGCATTGATCGTCCCCGTTGGGTTGGGAAGCGTAGTTCATCTGCCGGACGATCTCTGCAAAGAGTTCGTCCACCGAGGCTTTGTTTTTGGCTGAAGTTTCCATGAAGGGGCAGCTCCAGTCTTCGGCCAGGGCTTTGCCTTCCCCGAACGAGACCTCCCTTTCGCCCTCCAGGTCCACTTTGTTGCCCACCAGGATCATGGGCACCTTCTCGTACCTCTTGACCCGGATGATCTGGTCCCTCATGGGCTTGATATCCTGGAAGCTCTGCTGGTTGACGAGGCTGTAGACCAAGATGAAGCCTTGCCCGTTCTTGATGTATAGGTCCCGCATGGAGGCGAACTGCTCGGTGCCGGCCGTGTCCAGGATCTCCAGCACCGAGGGCGAAGAGTCCACCTCGATCTCCTTGCGGTAGAAGTCCTCGATGGTGGGGTCGTACTTCTCGATGAACGAGCCCGTCACGAACTGCACGGTGAGCGCCGACTTGCCCACCCCGCCCGAGCCCAGCACGACCACTTTGTATTCTCGCATGGCTCTTCGGGCGCCGGCGGCGGCGGCAGCGCCGGGCTGCGCGCCTCGGCCGGCCGCCTTCCCTCGCCTGCTGCTGCTGCTGCTGCTGCTGCGCTCTCCGGCTCCCCTCCCACCCTCCGAGAGAAAGAAAGAAAGAGAAAGAAAGAAAGCACGGAGGGGAGAGGGAGGCAGGCAGGCGGCTGAGGGGGAAACGGAGGCGCCCTTTCCTCTCTTCGCGGGAAGGCACTGGAGGGGCGCAGCGGCGGCGGCGGCCGGGTGAAAAGGGCAAAGGCGCCCGCCTTCTCCCGCGCCCCGGCAGAAGGGGAAGGAGAGGCGGCGGGAGCTCCGAGTCGCTTTCGCAAGGCAAGAGCTGCGCCTCAGCAGCACGACGACAACGAGGAGGAGGAGGAAGAAGAAGGGAAGCGGCGGCTGCTGCTGCTGCTTCTGCTGCTCGGGGCGGCGCGGAGGCGGCGCGCTCTGGTTCCAGTGGCGTCCCGGCCGCGGGGAGAGCTGCTGGGCGAGGAGGCGCGCGCCGCACGAGCCCCGCCGCGCTGCTTCGGGGCGCCGCTGGCCAGGTCCATCCCTCCTCCTCCTTCTTCCTTCTTTGCTGGCGGCCGGCCCCGCGACGCCCTCCGGTGAATCACTCGCTTCCCTCGGCTGCCGACCCCATTGGGCGCCGGGGCGCTCCCCTTCCAACCACCTGAGAGGAGGAGGAGGAGGAGGAGAGGCAAAGCGGACGGCACATCACGCGCGCACGCCCCGTTCGCTCCGCTTCCTCCGCTCCGGATTGGCTGCAGGCCCGCTGCTCGCCGAGCGGCCCAGGCTCATTGGCCCAGGCGGCGGGCTGCCTCGTGGATGGGGTTCTGGAGGAAGGGGATTGGCCCGGCAGCAGCTGTTTCTTTCTTTCTTTCTGGCGCGCCCCGCCTCCTCCCCCGCGCGCTCCTCCTTGTTCTCCTCCTCCTCCGCGCCCTCCCGCGAACGCGAGAAGTTTGGGCGGATAGTGTGGGAAACGGGGATGAGCGGCGTGGGCGGCGCTGGGGGCGGGGAAGGGAAAGAAGAATGGGATGGGGGGGGGGGGAGAAGAAGCAAGCCGGGTCAATGGGAAGCGGAAGCCTCGGTGCACCCCAGGAGGAAGTAGGCTTAGCTGACTCCAAGGAGCAGGTTTGAGCAAGTTGTCGGCAGGGCAGTCCGATTCCTGCCTGAGCCCAGTGGAGTTCAATGGTCCTTACTCCCAGGTAGTGCTCACAGTCTGCAAGTGCGCAGAATCTGTGGCCCTACCGAGATGGGGCCCAACATCTGGAGCATAGTTTACCAAACTTTGGTTTTGGGCTGCAATTCCCATCACCCCTGACTACTGGTTCTGGTAGCTAGGTATGATGGGAGTTGTAGTTCAAAAACAGCCGGTGACCCAAGTTTGGGTGGCCCTGAGCTGGAGGGTTAAGGGTTCCACCTGGCTTACTGGTAGAGCAGCTGTTTTGCATGCAGAAGGTTGCAGGTTTGGTTCCTGGCATCTCCAGGTAGGTCTAGGAATGTCCCCTGTCGGACACCCTGAACAGCCTCTGCCAGTCAGTGGAGGCAATACTGTAATCCCTGTTGTCTACAACAGAAAAACAATATCCCACAACCCAGCACCATCCACTCCAAGTTTACATTCACTGTCCTATGCTCTTTGTACCCTTTACTTGCAAACTGAATATGAATATTATCCATACATAATATTGCTGAAGATGACCATGCATTCTACCCTAGAATATTGGGCCAAGGAGTATCATCATCATCATCATCATCATTGATGTCAAGGTCAGATAACTTCCTTTTGAGATTTCAATAACTTTTGTATTAAAGGTAAAGGTAAAGGGACCCCTGACCATTAGGTTCATTCGTGGCCGACTCTGGGGTTGCGGCGCTCATCATGCTTTATTGGCTGAGGGAGCCAGCATACAGTTTCCGGGTCATGTGGCCAGCATGACTAAGCCGCTTCTGGCAAACCAGAGCAGCCCACGGAAACGCCATTTACCTTCCCGCCGGAGCGGTACCTATTTATCTACTTGCACTTTGACGTGCTTTCAAACTGCTAGGTTGGCAGGAGCAGGGACCGAGCAGCGGGAGCTCACCCCGTCGCGGGGATTCGAACCACCGACCTTCTGATCGGCAAGTCCTAGGCTCTGTGGTTTAACCCACAGCGCCACCTGTGTTCCTTCTAGGAGCAAGATACAAATTTAATAAACCTAAACTTTAATAATAAAACCATTAAACACTTAGAGCCTAATATTTCCCAAGTGTTGTACATATATTAAAACATAAGCAGCTCCTGCCCATAGACTCACAATATAATGAACAAGATAGGAAAGGAAAAAAAGAATGTGGAGGGGAGAGGAAAGCAGCTGCTCCTTCACTGGCCAGTGGATGGGGCCAGGTTGGTCTCCTTGCCATGATGCGCTTTCCAGGTGGATAATTGCAGCCTCCAATGTTCCTTGGTGCTCTAGCTGATGGCTGAGGCTAGAGTATACCTCCCTTAATCTGCAATCAGAGTGTCTTGTGAGTATTATTTAGTTAGGAGAGGGAGAACATAGGCAGTTTTCCAGTCCAACAAAATAATGCGAAGTTCTCCAAAATATGTATTGGTTTATGGCAAAGGCTAATGACCTACAGACTCTAGCCCATAATCAATTTTAGAAAAATCTATTTTCCATTCAGCTGCATTATAACAGATGAATCATTTGGGTCTGACATGGGGCAGCTGCCATGTGATAAGATTATTTTCTGTTTCTTCCCTTTTAATAACAATCAGACTGGCTGCAATTTGAATTACAAGAAACCCTGGCTGTTTGCCGTAATTTGTGCACACTATTCCTCTTTGTCAATCAGATGTTCCATTTAAGAAAGAAAGAAAAGGAAGTCACCCATTATTGTTGCACCTTCTAACCTTTGCTCTTTCCATACTCTCACTATAAAGGGAGTTGCTTCCTTAGATTTGCAAAATGCATTGCATAAGTGTAAAAAATACACTGAGTAAATGCTACTGCACAGGGAAAAGAGATCACAATAGTAACAAGCTGCATCTTCTCTCTTGTAATGGATTCCCTCCTTATTCTATTCACATCTACTGAGTTATTACCATCAGTCCCTGGTTACTAATGACAGAATAATAATGCATTATGTTTGAAAACCACTATTCCAACAACACTTTAGAGCTTTCAAAGAAGGCAAGCCTGCTCATTAGGACACTGTTTTTTTCCTTTTACTGTCTTGCCAGCTCATATATTCATCTTGGAGTAGGGATGGGTCGAACATCAGATTTGGTCACATTTGGACCTTGTGGACTCTCGACCATAGGTTCATTGCATTCTATGCCATGCTGCTCCATTTTGCTCCATGCTATTTTGTGTAAAATGCACACTTTTCAATACATGCAGAGGCCAGCTTGAGCTTTTCACAGAATGTACAGCCAGTGGCAGCCACATGTTCATTCTATTCACTCCATTTATGTTTGTTGTTGTTTAGTCGTGTCCGACTCTTCGTGACCCCATGGACCAGAGCACGCCAGACACTCCTGTCTTCCACTGCCTCCCGCAGTTTGGTCAGACTCATGTTTGTGGCTTCGAGAATACTGTCCAATCATCTCGTCCTCTGTCGTCCCCTTCTCCTTGTGCCCTCCATCTTTCCCAACATCAGGGTCTTTTCCAGGGAGTCTTCTCTTCTCATGAGGTGGCCAAAGTATTGGAGCCTCAGCTTCACGATCTGATCTTCCAGTGAGCACTCCGGGCTGATTTCCTTCAGAATGGATAGGTTTGATCTTCTTGCAGTCCATGGGACTCTCAAGAGTCTCCTCCAGCACCATAATTCAAAAGCATCAATTCTTCGGCGATCAGCCTTCTTTATGGTCCAGCTCTCACTTCCATACATCACTACTGGGAAAACCATGGCTTTAACTATACGGCCATTTATGTTTAGTGTGCAATAAACTTCAGGTAAGTCACTTATGGCTTGGCCCCATCCGTCAACCAAATAAGGAGCAGTTAGACAGGGGCTTGCTCCCCTGCATGAAAAACACCACACCACTCCAACCAGTTCCCGGGATTGTAGAGCCAAAGAGAGACACACACTTGCCTCTGTCGTGAAATTTAGGGTGACTTAGGGCCACTGGGAGGCTGCACTCCCTGCTTTCCAGGAATAACATCATGGCAAGGGAGAGTCTAGTCAGGTCCCTTTCATCAGCCAGTGATGATTTACATGCATAAAGTCCCAGACTTCACCTGCAGCATCCCAGTAGAGCTAGGAATGCCCCAGCCTCAAACCCAGGAGAGCCAAAGGCAGTGCACACAGTACTGAACAGAACAATAATCTGATTCAGTATTTGTCAGCTTCCTATGTAAGGAACAGCACTGCAGCATTTCCTTTTCCTCATCCCTACCTTCATGCTTTCCTTTCCTTTCCCCTCCCCATTTCTTTTGCTTTTGCATCTTGTCTATTTGATTGTGAGCCTGCAGGCAGCAGCTGTCATGATCTTGTAATATTTGTCCCAGTGCTTAGAACATTTTAGGCACTTAAGAGTCGATAGCAATAATAATTAGCGATGTTTCTGGCTTTGTGGGGAGAGCTGCATAGAGGAAATCAAGTCCCCAGTACGCATGTGCAATTGCCCCATTTCATTATTGACCTGTTAAAAAATATCCCTTAGCCCATATCTAGAAGAGAAATGGGTCTGGCCAAAGTTCAAGATGACTGACTTCTTTTTGGCCAATGGGAACAAGGAGATTGCAAGATAATAGTAGGTTTTGCTTAGACTTGCAGCTAAAAGCCGGAAAACGTTTCTGGCTCTGCATGCATGTTGACTGTGAGTCTGACAATGGACATTTCTTCTTCTTTCCTAGAACAGTTAATTATTATGTTAATATCACATGTCAGCTTTTACTCTCTATTTAAGCATTGCTTGTAATTTTATCTTTCCTTAATTTTATGTTGCACTCTCCGAAGAAAGAAACACAAATGGTCTTCAGACGCTTTAGCGGAAGCTTAAAGAGGTAATGTGTGAATTGGACATGGGAAGGAGAGAGCTAACTATCTAATAAGGAGTGTGGATGTTTGAGTCCCTTTCCATCCCCTTGAGAGCATCCCTGTCAAAACAGAGCTAGTTAAGGCATTCGGCATTGTGGGAGATTTTCAATTTATCACTTTGCCAGGGTTCAGAATCAGCTGGAGTGATGCTCCCCAGCTGGGAGCTAATTAAGGACAGATGAGCCTTTATAAGTCCAGCAGTTCATAGGCAGCCTCACTGTAAATAGTTGAAAGCTTAACCACCTGGATTTCTGCCTTCCCAGAAGTTCTTAAAGCAGCCTTCCCTAACCTGGTGCCCCCCAAATGTTTTGGACTACATTTCCCATCAACCCCAGCCAGTATGACTAGATATAATGGTATTCAGAATGCAAAACATCTTGACAGCACCAGGTTGGGGGTGGCTGCCCTAAAGGCACAGAACCCTGTTTTTTTTGGGGGGGTGGAAGTTAGCAATCCTGTGCACATTGTCCCTAAGTCCTGCCCCGTTATACCTTTCCTTTGCCCCTGCCCCCAAAAGCAATGAAAAATATGCAGCAACAAAAGTATGGCCAATCAAGTAATAATATCCCTTCCCCCAAAAAAAGAATTATGAAATATCACGAAGACTAAAAACAGCTAGGCTTTCTTTCTTTTTCTTTTTTCTTTTAAATCACATAGGCAC